ACATTCGCACTATAGTAAATTTATATAGTAATCTGAGTCATATTACTCTCTGGCTTACTCGTGGACTCCCAATTAAAGAAAGTATTTTTATATTATTATTATTATTATTTCTAATTGACTAATTGATTCTTTAATTACTAATTTTTTTTACTAATTTAAAGCATTTTCTCTATTTTCAATTTTTTGAATACAATAATTTATTATATTGAAGGCTTTGGGCTATGTAGTGAAAAATATTTTTATATTTTTTTTTCTTAATTACTAGCTTCTGTTTTATCTTTTTTCTTATAAATTCAAAGTATCTTCAGAATTTACTTTAGATTTTTCATACTTATATTTTAAGCTCATTCTCTTTTTGAAATTATTAATAATTTTTTTATTCTTATTCTTAATTATGAAATTTAATCAATTTTTTTATTTGATTAGTAACTTTAGCACTAGTCTACATACAAACAAAAATAGTTATAGTCATAATAAAAATTTCATAATTAATCACTAATCATTATAATCTTCCCAATAAGGAATAGACTAGAAAAACTATATTTTATTTATTAAAATATTAGGTTTTTTATATACAATATGATTTTATATATTAGCTTAATAAAATAATAAGAATTTTATATTTAAACCAAAAATATAATAGGTATTATAAAATGCACCTATAGTGTTCAACACCATATATAATTGTTTTTAATAAAATTTAGGGTTGGGTGCATTTTTATAATTTTTTTTTATATATTTTATGATATATATTAGATATAAGTTTTTAATTTTAGTTTTGTAAAGTTTTTGGGGATTTTAAATATTTTTACTTAGAATACCCAATCCAGTTTATTTAGTATATTTTTGAGAAATAGGGACCTATAGTGTTGAACACCATAGGTGCAGAATAGTAGTGTCGAAATATAATACTCTAAAAATAGAATAATAACTTGAGATATACCTTTTATACAAAATGCTAATGTAATAATAAATTATTTATATTATTTTGTATGAGAATTAATAGAATAATACAGTATCAGCATTTTGTATAAAAAACACTTCTCTAATTAAAACATTGTCAATTTAATTATATAAAATAACAAAAATTAAAATTCTGTATAATGCAAATATTAATTATATATCTCAAATCAGATAATAGTACAATTAGAGTTTGTAAAACTATTACTATATAAATTATATTATTTATATACCTAAATAGGAACTTAATTTAATAATAAAGTAGATTTAAGTTATTAGGTTAAAATGGCCTGATCATTCATAGAATAAATATCTAGACTTTCAATTTAGCTATATATTTATAGATATATATACTGAGTAATTTATTATGTACAATATATATATTATAATTTGATATATGAATAATCGATTAATGTAGCTAATGCATTTCATATTGTATATAATATTATTACTATATAAACCAATTTATAGACTAGTCCATAATTATAAACTAAAGACTGATTGAACTAGTTTATAGACTGGTTTTGAACCTAGTTTTTGTTAGACTATAACATCTCTATACTAAACAGACCAACTACAGACCAACTTTTCTAAACTAACTGAATTGAAAATAGAGTGAACTCTAAAATCCATAATGTTGAATAAGAAGTAGATACTAGAATTAGTTGTAAATCTAATAAAAGCAAAAAATATATGCAGCTTAGATAATCAGACTTGCTAGTATATAAATAAAGCTATAGCATAATATCTCTAATATCTAATCTAAAAACATGTAAAATATAAAAAAATTGAAGTAGGTAGATATTGCTATTGGTGCCTATTTTAGATAATAGCTAAAGAAGGTATTACCAATATTAGATAAAACTAATAAAGTGCTAAGGTATAAGGTTATTTGGATTAATAAAATTGGGAGTAGAATTAGCTAAAGAGTTTAAATAAATAACACTAGTTTGGGTTACAAGTATAAATATCTAGTGTAAATATAGTGGCTTATTATAAATACAATTTATATAAGGTTAAATAACTATATATAATACATTTTAAGTACTTCAAGTTCCAAACACTAAGTTAAAAAAAAAAAAATTAATTCAAAGTTAGATTTAAATATAAAGAACTATTTTTTTTTTATTTTATTTATATTTTACTACTATTGTAAAGAATTATTTAAATAGACAACCAAATTTAAGATATATATTATTTCACTAACAATTACTTCACAAGCAGCTTAGTTCACAGACAATTAATTTACAAACAAGTTCATTTCACCAACAATTAACCTACTGACAAGTTTATTTTATCAACAATTATTTCATTGACAGCTCATTTTACTAACAAGTATTTTTATAAATTACACTAACCTAAATTCTAATTCTAACCTGACACTAACAACAATGACTAAAATTGCTTTGTCAGTAAAATGAGCTGTTAGTGAAATAATTGTGAATGAAATGAACTTGTTAATTGAAGTGAACTTGTCTGTGAATGGTAAAGTTATTATCAGCGAAATGCGCACCATCCCAAATTTACTATATAAATGTAACGCTTGTTCTCTGATTGGTTGATATTGATATAATATACATGATCATAGTCCCGCATTTTGATTGATTGAAAAAATTTTAACTGGAACCACTGAAATGCTAAAAAAATCTAGAGTTCCAGTGGAAGTTCCACTTCCAGTTAACAACACTGAAATACATCAAAATAAATATTAGCAAAAATATTATTACCAATTAATATTATAAATAGAGACAACATCAGATAAATATCAGAAGCTAATAGAGCAACAATAAGCTAACAGTATATAATAAAGCTATAGCTTCTAACAAAAATCTAATATCGTTCCTATTTATAGTAAAAAATCAGTACAGTATATAATATATTTTATTTCGACTGTGGCAGGACATGTTTATGCTGAATTTCATTGCTGAGGTATCTGGTTTTTAATTTCGGATACCTGGTTGATGACATTTTCAGGCTTGGTATAACAATGTTATGCAGCTACTTATTGTTTTAAAAAAATTAATAGTAAATAGTAAAAAATTTATACTATACACGAATTTATAATGTTATTATAAATCTCTGAAATACTTATTTTGAACGCTGCTCCAGTCTGGTTTGGTTTCAAAGCGAGAAATGCTTCAGAGTATAATGCTCTAATTAATATCTTTATAGCTAGCAGTATACTATTTAACTAAATATAACATATTCTAATATTAAAATAAGTTTTTATTATTACTTTGTAATATATATATAATTATACTACAAAGTTTAATAATTTTAATAGTTTTATACAATTTAATCAATAGATTTTCAAGATCTCTATATAATAATAAAAATATATAAATTAGAAGTTTCTTAATATTACCAATTATTAAAAACCTACTTTACTGGAAAAAAAACCCCAAAAAATATTAAACGAATATTTAACAATTTTACCTTATGCGTTCGAATATACTTTGCCTGCCAACCGTCAGAAACTCGTTTTAAACTTTCTTAATAATATAAAATAAATTTACAGATCAAATTAAATGCAAATACCTTCAACCCACAAAGCTCACAAAAATATAATATGTTTAATAGTTCATAACGCATACCTGCAACGTATAGTTTTTGATCTTGACTTTGCTTGAAACATGATATTCCATTTTGAACTACTAATTTTGTCATCAAAGTATTTATGATTGGTTCTTTAGTAAATGGGTTAAGTTCACCAATTGCGATACCAAGAGCAATGTCTGAATCAAGATCACTAATCAATCAGATTCAAAAAAATTATTGTGGTAAAGGTAATATCAATAATTAAGAACATTAAGAATATTATCGAAACAAGGATACGGTCCAATGAAGTTGGTATCAGGGTTGATATCCAAATCTTCAGGGATAGGATTTAATGTGACTAAACACTTTGTATCGATGTCAAATACGCGCTGGTATAAAAATGCCAATTCCGCGCGCCTGAAATTGTATAAATAATCTAGTGGAACCTCTATTTTACCATCCATCAACAACAATTTTATTATCTATTGATGAATTTGATAAAGTTATTAATAATTATAGTGAAGCAATGTATACAAATATATTCTATTGTTTATAATGTGTTCGTTCATGTTATTTATCCGTATAGTAACAAAATTTTTAAATTATATAGTGCGTACCTTTTCAGCGGTTTTATATTTTCTCACATATTTGTACGCAGATTTTAGTCCTATACCAAAAATTGACGGCAAATAATCGCAACCTGATAACATTGCCATATGTCGAAATTGCTTGTCGGTCCAACCAAGCAAGTTTATTTCCTGCACTTGACCAAATTTATCACGAGAAATTTCTATACCATTTCCGTTAGAATCCATCTTATAAATAACCTACAAGATTTATATTAATAATGACAGTCTATCGCAGCTATCCTTCCGCCTGCTATGTATCTACATACGGTTTTGCAGCCAAATACAAGTAAATCGGAATCTTCTGTAATTATAGCAGCAATCTTTTTTTCTTTCTCAAGATATGCTAACTGGGCGTCGGCCTCATAAGGTGCAACAACGTATTCTACATTTTCATCTCGTAAAGCCTTTATATGAGAATAAATTAAGTCGATTTGGTGTTAAATTTTTTTTTTTTTAAATACAAAAATATTTTATTTAACTTGAATGAATTTATATGCCATCTCAGGTGTAATGTCAATGCTTTTCTCTAAAAATGTCATGGCTTCATGAATTTGACCTTTCTTATAAAGTGCTTGTCCTTTCACGCGATATTCTTTACGTTTTCTAGTCGTATAAATGTCATTAATTATGAAGATATACTTTTGAAACATTAGATTTTGACATCAAATAATTATGAATACAAACTTTTCTCGAATAGATTCAGTAATACTTTTGGCCGGTAAAAACCCACCATCAAAAACGATGAGAGGACGTACGTTGTATTGTTTCATCATATGCACGCGTCTCATACAATAATCTACATATCTATTTCAGAAAAGATGGATAAACGAACGAAATATAAACGCGTTTATAATTGAATAAGAGCTTAAAGACGCGTACTTTGTAGTTGGCTTGTTCATAGCTAGCTCGGTTATACACGTGTGAATCCCCTTGTGAAGCCAACAGTACGCATCTACACCCACGGCTCTCCCAGCATATTTAGCAATTGAAATATTCGTGTGTATTGACTTAAGAACTTGGATAAGACATTGAATACCCATTTTTCGATTTCAACTGCGTGTTTGATGATTGTCATTTATTTCTATCGAAAAGTACAGTTACACGAACTTTTTACAATCCGATTCGTTGATTGGAAGATTATTAATCCGTTTATTAGGTCATACACTTAGTAACAATTGTTAATTTTGGTTATATAATTAACTTTAATAAAGAATTATTATAAAACACACCTATGGTGGTTTAGCACCTATGTATAATTTCTTTTAATAAACTTTAGGGTTAGGGTTAGGAAGTTAAGAATTTTTTTTTTTTTATAATATATTATAGAGCTACTATAAGGGCC